CTGATCTATGTTATAATGTTGTTTCCTCATCACAAACAGACCTGGAATTGTGTTTTGTTTCATTCATACATCTTTAACACACATCCCTGCATATTTAGTTCTTTAATTCTTCTTTCAACCATAAAACACTTTGTTCCAGTTGTGATGTTCTTCATACACTTTTAGAAGCGTCCATATCGTGACTATGCCAGTTTGTCAAAGTCTGATCCCGTCAGATCTCAGAAGCTCAGCAGAACCGGGCCTGGTTAGTACTTGGATGGAGACCACTGGGAAAATCAGGTGACACAGTGGGGAGCCAGTCGTAAAAACTGTTGTTGTGTCCTTAGGCAAGACACTTTACCCACATTGCCAAGTATGAAAGTATGAAAGTGGTGTGTGTGTGAGTGATGGTGGTGGTCGGAGGGTCCGATGGCACCGACTGGGGCAGACTGATGGACAGTGTTGGGGAGTAACGGATTACATGTACCAGAGATACGTAATCAGAGTACAAATTATGAGTAACTGTATTCAGTTACTGAGTGGTAATTAGATTCCACTCATTGGTCTAACCCAGGTCTAAACCCAGGTCCAAACTAGGTCCAAACCAGGTCTAAACCTGGTCTAAACCAGGTCTAAACCCAGGTCTAAACTAGGTCTAAACTAGGACTAAACCAGGACTAAACCAGGACTAAACGATGTCTCAAACAGGATTTAACAGGACTAAATCATGCTTTGTGGATCATGTCTCCTCCTTTTCTATCAATAATATTTTTAATCTGGTTAAGTAATGACTGGGCTTTTCATTTTCTTTTAGCAGACAAAACATCTTATGTGAAGATTTCTTAGTCTTTGCTTCTGTACAGCAAATCAAGTAACCCAAAGTATTCAGATTACATTACTTACCTTAAATAATTTTATGGATTACATTACAAACTACATTTTGGGGTATGTAATCTATAATCTGTAATCTGTAATCTGTAGGGGAATACATTTTAAAAGTAACCTTCCCAACACTGCTGATGGACGGCTACAATAGTATCTTACAACCACTGTGTATGGAGTGAATAAATCAAATAGATCAAATAGATCTGTAAAGCGTCTTTGAGTGTCCAGAAAAGAGTTCTATAAAACTGATTCATTCAACAATCGTTGAATTCAACAATCAAAAATACGGTACTGAACATGTTTCTGTGTTGTTTTTGGTGACTATAGCATTTTCAAAACAATAAAACATAACACACTGATCTAAATATGTTATGTTTTTGCAGTTAATATCCTACAGAAGTATAAAATACCTCTTCTTTTAAATTTCTTTTTTTTAAACATGTTTTTGTCAACAACTCTTCGGTAAAATAAGAAATCCCACTTTTGTCTGAATCATGAAAAAAAAAACAAAAAAAACATGGCAAATGAGTGCATGCTCCTCACAGATAGAATTTAGCTCCTGATCCTCCATCTGGGGCTCATCTCCTGGTCACAAAAGCCCAGACGAGCAAGAGGGAGAGAGAAGAGGGAGAGAAGGAGAGAACGGGGAGAAAGCAGGGGAATGATAAGAGGAGAGTAAAGGGCAGAGGGAGAAAGAGGGAGAAAGGAGGGGATCAGAGGGAGAGAAAAAGAGAAAAAGAGAAGAGAGGGAGAGAGAAGGAGAGAAGCTTGAGAAATCAGAGGAATAAGAGGGGAGTAGAGGACAGAGGGAGAAAGAGGGAAAGAGAGAGAGAGAAAGTAGGGGGTCAGAGGGGGGAGAGAGAAAGAGAAAGAGGAGGGAAGATGAAGGGGCAAAGATTGAAGGAAACAGAGGAGGAAATAGAGAGAGATAGAGAGGGACAGAGAGAGAAGAGAGACGGGGGGTCAGAGAAGGAGAGAGGGATGACAAAAAGGATAGAAGGAGAGTGGCCAGAGGGTAAAGGAGGGATGAAGAGAGAGAGAGAGAGAGAGAGAGAGAGAGGGGGAGGGAGGAAGGGATAGAGAGAGAAGGGAGCAGAGAGGGAGAGAGGAATGACAAAAAGGATAGAGAGCAGCCAGAGTGGAAAGGAGGAGAGAAGAGAGAGAGAGTGGGGGTAGAGAGAGAGGGAGCAGAGAGAGAGAGAGAGGGATGACAAAAAGGATAGAGAGAGGAAAGAGAAGCGAGAGAAAGGAAGGAATAGACAGAGAGAATAGATAGAGAAGAAGGGCAGAGAGAGGGAGAGAGAGGGATGACAAAAAGGATAGAGAGCGGCCAGAGAGGAAAGGAGGAGAGAAGAGAGAGAGAGTGGGGATAGAGGGAGCAGAGAGAGAGAGAGGGATGACAAAAAGGATAGACAGAGGCCAGAGGGGAAAGAGGGAGAGAAGAGAGAAAGAGAAGGGGTAGAGAGAGAAGAGAGCAGAGAAGGAGAGAGGGATGACAAAAAGGAAAGAGAGCGGCCAGAGAGGAAAGGAGGAGAGAAGAGAGAGAAAGGAAAGGATAAAGAGGGGATAGAGAGAGAAGGGAGCAGAGAGGGAGAGGGATGACAAAAAGGATAAGAGAGTGGCCAGAGACGAAAGAGGGAGAGAAGAGAGAAAGGGGATAGAGAGAGAAGGGAGCAGAGAGAGGGATGACAAACAGGATAGAGAGCAGCCAGAGAGGAAAGGAGGAGAGGAGAGAGAGAGAGCGGGGATAGAGAGAGAGAGGGAGCAGAGAGAGGGAGAGAGGGATGACAAAAAGGATAGAGAGAGGCCAGAGGGGAAAGGGAGACAGATGAGAAAGAAGAGAGAGAAAGGAAGGGACAGAGAGAGAATGGAGCAAAAAGGGAGAGAGGGATAATGTAAAAAGAGGAGAGAGAGTGAGAAAAAAGAAAAGAAATGAAGGGGTGTCAGAGGAGAAGGGAGGAAGATCGAGGAGAGAGGAAGAGAAAGAGAGAAAGAGTGAGAGGGTTTGTAAGGAGAGAAAAACGGGGAAAGATCCGTGACACCGAAATAGCGTAAAAGAGATAGAACGAAAAGGAGAGCAGACAGAGAGAGGAGGAGAGAGAGGTAAGTGGAGGAGAAATTGAAAAAAGAGAGGGAGCGTGTGCGAGAGAGAGAGAGAGAGAGAGAGCGATAGACGGGGGGGAGCGAGCGCGGTGGTGGTGATGCTGGTTTCTATTGCAGCCCAAATGATGAGAGAAAGCCTTTGTGACGGGATTAGAGGGTCTGTGTCTGAGGCTCCGAGCTCAGACCATCAGGCTCCACACACACCAGAGCCATCAAATCTGCCAAACCCCACTCACTCCCTCACTCAGCCGCCCTCCACACGGGACACAACGACCAGCGCCACGGGGATTGTCCAAAGATTGTGCCGTATTGATTATTCGATTGAAGATTGAATATTGAGGACTGAGATTGAAAAAATAAAATGCCAAAGTAGGACAGGGAAATATATCGGATTTTTCGAACTATAAAGCGCACCGGATTATAATGTCAATAATGTTGAATTCTCTCATTTATTTTCATACATAAATTACACCGGATTATAAGTGAAACAAACAGAGGACACTTGAGACTGATCCCTTAGTCCAGGCGTCCACGATCCATTGGCAGATTGTGGCGTAATTAAGTTTTTTTTTTTTTTTTTTTCCTATGAGGAGGACTCAAATATACATCGAGTAATAATGTGTTTGGTGCAGCTTTGCCCACATTTCTTTACGTTTTATAGAACAAAACTTAAAAACACATGACTCATTTGCAAATATAAGATCTGAAAAAAAAACAGCTCGGTTCTTGTGCGCTGATACAGTTCAGCTTCTGTTGGACTAAACTCCTGACTAGGGGTGGCACCTGACTAGGGGTGTCCAAAAATATTGAAATAAAGATATATCGTATTGCTTAATCTGATGATACAGTATTGATATCGCGGGCTGCTGTGTCGATATATCGCCAAGAGTATTTTTTGGTATATTTTACTGAATTATTTTGTTACAGTGCTACTGTTTTGTTGTTTGTTCAGAGGAAGGAAACTCGTTTATGTTACACATTTGACATTTTTACAGTTTTGATGATTAAAATATCATATCGAATCGAAAGCTCACTGTACTGAGATATGTATTGCATCGTGGCCTATGTATCGAGGTATGTATCGCATCTGCAACTTCTTAATGATGCCCAGCCTTACTCCTGACAACAGTAGCTGTAATGCTCAAGCGGTGCGGCTTCGTAGTTTACCAAAGTCCTACTAAAACATTTTGACAGATTTTTTTTTCATGTACCACATAAAATCAGTTTGAGGTCAGTAAGCACAAGCGTAAGCATAAGGCTCACTGGATTATAAGGCACACTGTCGATTTTTGAGAAAATTCAAGGATTTTTAAGTGTGCCTTATAGTCTGAAAAATATGGTATACTATATGTTTTTGGGTCGTATCTAGATATTGGATTGGATACATGGTCTTTTTTCTGGATACATGGTGGAATAATTTTTTATTTGGAAGCTCTCATGTAAACATGGCAACTGTGAAATAAACAAGATTAAGTAGCTAAAATATAATTTAGATTTCCTCTTCAAGACAATATGAAAAGTTTAAGTTTACTTAATAAGGTCATGATCTGGGTTGAAGAAAATTGAGATTTGACATACTGCTTCATTTTTAACTCAAAAATAATGTATACAAATAACATCAGTAGTGGTGTCTGACACTCATGACTCATAGTAAGAAGGTTCTGGGTTCAACTCCCATGTTGCCTGAACTTTTCTGTGTGGAGTTTCCATGTCTGGGTGAGTTTCCTCTGTTTCCCAAAACATTCACCACAGGTCAAATCCTCCTTCGAAGGTCCTGACCAAACACTAAGCCTTTGATCGCTGATTTTCCACACAAGGAATTCAGAAAGTATAACATTACCACCATAAACTCAACAAGCCAGAACCCTCCCATGTAACCCCACTGCAGCAGCAAAACAAGCGGTCTCCTCAGCCTCTCCATCTCATCTTCATCATCATTACGAGCGTCTGTCCTCTTAAGCACTAACGTTTATTCATTCAACTCCCAGCTCCTCTCCTCCTCCTCTTTCTTTTCCTCTCCTCTTTAAACTGACCTTGTATGGCAGCACCACAGCCGACCCCCCGCTGATCCCCACGATGGGCACGGCGGTCTGCGTGGAGATGAAGTCCAGGATCTGCGCCACGGCCTCAGAGCCGACGTTGTCCTCGAAGACCACCCCATGGACTCGGTTTGTGGAGAGGGTGTCACAGATGCGCGTGAGCAGAGCACGAGGGTTTGTGTTGTTCACCAGCACCGTGATCGGATTCACCTGAAAAACACAAGACTTTAGAATGAAAAGTGTTTACAGAGGTTACAAAGACGAAGCAAGTTTATTTGTAAAGCAGAACTTGTACATGGAGTAATTCAATGTGCTTTACAGAATAAAAAAGATTAAAACCACAGAAGGATAAGAGACAAGAAGCATGTGTGATACAAATGAAGGTTTTTTTGAACTGTATAACTGGAAGTCTCTGAGTTAATGACTTGAATTCAGAATCGCTTTAATTTTGTTAACTTTTAAGTACCATAATTTCCGGACTATTGAGCGCACTTGTCTATAAGCTGCAGGTGTCCACGTCTTCAAGAACGTTGTCAAGTTCGTGCCATCTGCTTTTTTTGCCTATGAAAGCTTTTGTCGTCTTTTTGCATTGAGTCAGTTCGTCACGCTGCCGTCGCCTTCGTCTCACCATTGACTCATTGATGCCGAGCTCACGTGCAGCAGCTGCATTTCCATCTCCGATCAATTGCCTTTAACCTAAAAGCTGCATCATCTGTATTTTTTAAGGGTGTTTTCTATGAGGAGGGTGTGTGCATGAAGCACAAAATAACTGTTCAAAATACAATCAAACGAGCATCTTCCTTGGCGCATCACCCCCATCTCTCCCTGTGCTCTACTGTGCATGTCTCCTGCAGAAAGAGCTGCTGTCCTGTCTGTATCATGTCAGCGTCTTGTAGGATTTCAGCAGATTTTATCATACAGGTATGAGTGGATGTCCAGTTACTGAAGTTTGAGACATTACTTCTTGTCATTTACACACTCACCTGCATTTAATTCCCCCTCACTAATGTTCATTTAGCATCATAACTTATTTTATGACACGGTGATACACTGTTTTAGTGCTGACATCAGCTCTAGGTAGTGTTGCAACTTTATGTTAACTGCAGAGACAGTAGCGCTTTCTGCACTCAGACTGCACATGCATTTACTGTGTTGTCAAACCATAGAGCGCATATATGAATGGACAATGTGCCAAACAAAGAATCCGTCCATATATTCACCTGTCAGAATAATTTTATTATCCCATATTTGCTAAATACTTGTGTGATATTCTATGCCTATGAGTTAACCATTTACGTAACTACAATTCTTTGATTTATAATGTACCAATCACTTGTATAAAAATGAATAACCTCTGTGTGTTTGACAACTGTGTGCAGTGACCTATCGCTCTTGTGAACCTCGAGATGATTCCTCACATGAAGCCAACTCCCACTGTCACACATGCAAGAGTTATGATGGTGTCTGGCCATACCTAAGGCACCTCCTGATTGTTAATCATGTTTTATGTGTTTATACTATGCATAGCTTCATCAGTTTCTTATTATGTCTTTGCTGTTTCCCCTTCCCCTTGAGAATTATCATTCTGTAACTAGGGCCTCCTAATGAAATAAAAAGAGGAGAGCGGCCTTGAGTCATCAGAACGTGTGGAGACTGTTGGTTTTGATGCCCACTCTCTGCCCGTTCTCCTCGCGAGTAAAACTGAATTAATCTCTTGTCTTTCTTCTTGTTTACAATGTTTAGATAAACCTAACATCACCGCATCATTGAATAAGCAGCAGGGCTCAAAATGTGAGAAAAAATAACGGCTTATAGTTCGGAAATTACAATATTTTCGTTTGTTTAAAGGGCCCATCTCATGCAAAATAACTCTTTTCACATTGTATCTTCTGCACATATAAAAGCACAATTTGGGTTTTGGAACATCCTATACACAATCGTTATGAAATCTTACTGATTTCTTGGAGACAGTCACAGACCAGGAACTATGAAAGGCTGACTATTGCTCCTCCCCCCGCCCGTCCTGAGAAAGCACAGGCTCCACCCTCCAAACGTGACATAGGCTCTGAGTGAGCCGCCCTTCCTCCGCCCATCTCAGGGAGGGAGGGGGAGACAGGCGTGCACCCTGATAGCGGCAGGAATAAACTTTTATTCATCATGGTGATACAGCGCGTTCAGCCGCATGTGTTGGACCCGGAATCAGACAAGAACTTGGAGGTGGGTGCAAAGCGCTTTCTACTACGTCAACACATCATAGGTGTATCTGGCTGCGTCATCGTTGTAAGCAGCTTTAGTTTGTTGTCATGTGGGAGGGTGGCAGAAATACGCTGCAGTTTGTTAAAAAAAAAAAAAAACGCAGAATCAATCTTAAAACCTCTTTGGCGACATAAACAAGGCCCACACATCACTTTTAGAAGGTAGAAAGCTCTGAAAAGTTGATTTTGCCTGAGATGGGCCCTTTAAAGCCATAGTGTGTAACTTTTTCCACAAACAGTTCATGAGTTCATGACAACTGTCCAATTAAGCAATTTAAACCAAAATAGCATATATTTTGAATGGAGAAAGGTCCTCAAAAATCCTTCAAATCAGGAAGAAATTTTGTCTGAAAAAGTTTCCACCTCCAGAAAGTTCCGTACTGAACCTTTAAACGGATTAACCAGCTCTAGACGATTTGACCTTTATCGTAGTTTTTGTGATTACAAAAGGGACATTCATATTCTTTCTTATTAAGTTGACTTATTGGTTTGATTTTCCTTTTCGCAGCCTGGTTTCTTTTGTGATAAATCACCTGCAGGTGCTTTTTTATTCCTGTCTCAAGTGCAATTTTCTTGTTTACATTTTCAACAGTAAATTGAATTAGCCGTGACAGCTCGTAGCATGCATTTAATGTCAGTATTCTGTAAGGCATTGTGTTTATATTGGGCTTTCAAAATGCCCACAGCACTTTACAGCACATTACTCATTCACTCCACACTCCTGTACTATTGTAGCCACAGTCGTCCTGGGGCAGACAGAAGGAATGTGCCAATCTACACCATTGTCCCTGACCAGCACCAACCACTCACACACACCTTCTCGTCTTAAAACCCAACACTGCGCGAGTCGTGTGGTCCTCTGTGTCTTTTATTTATTTTACTTATTTACTGCTATTTTATGATTTTTTATTGTTTTGCTTTTATTCGATTTTTACTTGTTGTATTGTTTTAGGACTTGTATGATCAAATTTTCAGCAGTTTACCCTTTTGTCGTCTTTATTTTATGATCTCTGTGCAGCACTTTGGAAAAATGTGCTATAGAAATAAGGAGGATTTGGATTTGGACACACCACATTCATACTAGGCAATGTGGGTGAAGTGTCTTGCCTATGGACACAATAACTAGAGATTCCACTAGAGCCCCACTGTGATTTTCAATCCAAGTGCTGACCAGGACCAAGCTCTTGGAGACCTAACGGGATCAGGCATTGACAAGTAAGTATGGACACATATTCATGAACAAATTTGGCTTTTGAACCGTTCAATTCTTCTCCCTGACTTTGTGTCTCAAAACATGTACGTTTATAATTTAGCAAATGAACATACAAACATTTATTTCAACTCTTCTTGAAATAAGTCTTAGGTCTTTTCAGATTTCAGATCAGTTTTTTTTGAGTAAGATTACTTAAATTACATGTAAACAGCAAAATAAAATAAAAAAAAACTTCTGATCAATGTCCTTCTAAGTACTCGTATCAGATTTTTCTTCAAGGTCCAGAAATCAACTCTATTCACGCTTAAGTCACAAAACCGGAAGACATTTAGAAAGATGTGAATGACAACGACGTACAGAAGTTTTCACGCTGCACATTTTCATCACCTACTGCATCCACAATGTTGTCCCACCATCGACTGGTTCTCTGAGGTCTTGTCCACAGCCGCCTTGGGCAGTGTAGATGGAAACACTACGGCGGAGCACATTCAGCTTCTCCACTCTGGAGGGTAGTTTCAGATTTTTGTGTTTTTAAGCCCCAAAAACACCATGACTGTCTAAACCAGAGGTCTCCAACCTGTAGTTTCCACCCCCCATCCAAGTAGCTTGTCTAAGGATTTCTGAATTATAAGTACTGTACTAATAACTACAGTTTGATTATTTAAATTCCTATTGCCATTGGAAATTTATACTTTTCAACTTTGTGCACTAATAATTCTATTTTATTCTGACTTGTGCATATACATTTATATAATTATGTATTACTGGCACCTGTCTCTTGCTCTTTTTTTTTTTTTGCAACTTATTTAGAATTTATTATTACCATTTATATTTTTACTCTTTGTTATTATATTATATTGTGATGTGCGAGCTACTGTGTCCAAATAATTTTAGTTTGTCTAATTTTAAGTCTAATAAATAGATAATGGGTTATGTTTTACAGGCATCTAACTGTGCCCCATTTAAGACTTACCCCCTTTTTTTACATCGATTAAATTTCTTGCTAAACCTGGTAGATCTCAGGCATTTTTGTTTTGTAGAAGTAGTTCACCGGAGGAAAAAGGTTGGAGGCCCCTGGTCTAAACGATAGGCACTTCCCATAAAATATTTTGTCGTTTTTGTGTAAACAGACCCTAGATGTCATTGTATTCTATAATTTGTCAAACATAATAAAAAAATAATAATAATTACAAAAAAAAGTCATTGTAGCATTCCGTTATGTTCGGCAGATCAGCAGTTACAACCAGCTGCGATTAGAGTCCCGTCCCTCATGGAAAGTTCTGTCAGGTTGTGAAGACGCTGCTGCTGAATCCACGGTTTTAGCACATGTCCAGTGTCGGGAACTACACCGGAAGTCGTCATCGGCATGTTTCCAAACGTCTTCTGGTAACCGTGAGTAGAGCCTATCATGAGACTTTGCTGTGCATGTGAACAGCCTTTAACCGTGGCTCACCTCCAGGGGCAGGTCCATGAAGTTCTCCCTGCTCAGTCGTCCTTTGATCTCGCTCTGGTAGGCGGGGCCGCTGAACACCACGGCGACGTTGACCGTTGGGGCGGGGACTCCGAAGGGCCGGCCCACAGCCAGAGGGGCGGAGCACAGCAGCAGCACCACACGCAGCCACCAGGGGGAGCTCCGAGGGCCCATCGCACTCACCTACTGCCTGAGGATGACACAAGAGTAAGAAGAATGTAAATATGTGTTTTATAATGATTTATTATTTATTTAATTTATTTATTTATTTCGGTCACAGGTATATTTTGACATAAATTCATAAACAGTCATATTTAACATGTACAGACCGAAAAGGTGCAGGCTGAAGCTTAAGCTTATTATGCCTACCCTTTATTCCTTTGTCAGAGCGTCATCTTGACACCAGTTCATCTTCAAAAATACAGCAGGAAGAAACAAGCTAATCAGTAACAGAACAACAAAGTATTACAGCACAAACTAAGTCTCATATTTCATGTATCTGTCCAGAGTTAAACATTTAAACTTCTTTATGAAGTGAAAGAAAGTGGTGCACAATTTTAGGTTTTCTGTACATTTGTTCCACAGCTCCACCCCTTTAACAGATTTACAAAATTTCATAATGTTTGTTCTGATTTTCTTTTTAATAAACATGGTCGTGCCTCTGAGCTCATATTGGCTCTTTCGGATTTTGAACATGTTTTGTAACGAGAGTTTATGGTCTATAATATCAAAGTTGTTGTTTTGAAGATATGCAAAATTAAACTGACCTTCTGTAAAAAGAAAACCCACAAAAATAGATTAAAAATAAATAGTAAAATGGTAGTAAAAAAGTAATATTTATTTTTATGAACTTGTGTTTAATGCTGCAGTCCATTCAGTTTTTATACAATACTTGAACCTCAAATGGTCTGCCATCTGCTTGTCTCCATGGCGACGAGATGTTGAAAATGTTTCAAAGTATATCTATCACCATAGAGACAAGCAGGTCATGCCACCAGACCAAGTTACAGGTCAGGTCTGTGGAGAGGTACACAGGGAACCCCACTTACAGTATGTTTTATTAAGTTTTTTTATTTTTTATATAGCCATAAAAACACCTGTAACTGAATAAATGCAAAGTAAGTATAATGCCATACTGTGGAACATCCCAGAAAATGCAACACCACCAAATTTCCAACCATAAAATATAGTGCACATTTAACTTTTCTGTCCCTGTCAAATAAATCATTAAGATAAGATAAAAATCATTATATTTTCTGAAAAAGTATATAATGCCAAATAAATAATAATCATAATCACAATAATCATAATAATCTGTACAACTGTACAACAACTCACCTTTGTGTAACAGATAATACTCCCTACAACTGTACAACAACTCACCTATATGTAACAAATAATACTCCCTACAGCTGTACAACAACTCACCTATATGTAACAGATAATACTCCCTACAACTGTACAACAACTCACCCTTATGGAACAGATAATACTCCCTACAACTGCACAACAACTCACCCTTATGTAACGGATAACCATATGTCCAGTCACCTGTCAATCATCATGAGATTTTATATTTTGTTACTTTCTTTTTCTTTTTCCTTCTTTTTTTTTTTTTTTTGACTTGTACATTTACATTTACATAATTATGTCTTATCTGACATCTGTCTCTTGCTATCGTTTTTGCTGCTTATTTAGAATTTTGAAATTATTATATTGTGATGTGTGAGCTACTGTGTCCAAATAATTTCCCTTGTGGATCAATAAAGTGTCTAAGTCTAAGTCTGAAACATGAATATACAGTATAATCGAGGACTGGAGGCTGGATTAACCAGACTAGACAAGACCAGACTTGAATTTTTGGTCTCCTTTTCCTGTTTAAATCATGAACCTGCCCCAGTGCAAAGTCCTTCTCCGTCACAGAGAATCGTCCTGTTTTTGTTTTGTTTTTTCTTGTTGTATTTTTAGCTCCTCGACGTGAGACCGGAGCCTATGGGAGCACATGTCACCGCACTGCTGCTCCAAGGTGCCATCCAAACAAACAGATGGCCGCCACACGCGCTAACGCTACACTCGCTAACGCTACACGTGCTAATGCTAAAGCTACGGTGGCGCGCGGGGGGATTTGTACCGCTCTCTCTGTCTCGTGACTAAAGGTTTACCACCAGGACCATCTGAGACTATCTGGGTTACTAAACCACGACGACCAAGAAAGATGAAGCCTCTAAGAAGAAATGGGAATTAATATTAGATGATCGCACACAAGCACACACACAAAACACAAATAAATAAATACTACAACAAGGTGCAGTTTGAAGTGAATGTATAGATCGTGACTTGGACTCGAGGCAGACTAGAGTCACTATTTTTAGGACCTAAGACTTGACTTGATAAAATCGATTAAGACTTTGGACTTGGCTTGGACTTGAGGCCTGTGACTTGAGAAGACTTGATAAAAAAATCTAGGTTTTTTGAAAATACTTTTCTCTTTACAGTTGATAAATGTGGTGTTTAATTTTAAAGAAAGAAACTGAAACATGTCCCTCCCTCTTCTGGAACTGAAGTACTGTGAGATGGTATCCTCAAATGTACTACAGTAACATAAAATACACTACAGGAAAATACAGTAATATGCAGTAATATACAGTAATATCGTTCCATTTCAGTGCAAACTACATGACAAAATAACACTTTTAAATCTGAATTCTTTCTATTCTGACCGTAATGATTCACACTAAGATCTTGTCAAAACATTTAAAAAGGAAAAATTTACATTTCTACAACTATATAAATACTCATATATAAATATACCATGACTTTTTAATCCAATCCAATCCACTGCATCCGCTGCACAAATACATAATAATAATAACAACAGTAATAAAATTATAACATAAACGCTCAGATTTAATCATATTAGTCTTAAAATAATAAAACCAGTAGAATAAAATATGAGCAAAATCATATAATAGCAATAAATAAAGCCAATAAAATACATAAAAAATAAATAAAAGACACAGACAACCACACAACTCACACGGTGTTAAAAGCCAGAGAATAAAAGTGGGTCTTAAGACGAGACTTAAAACATACTTTAAAGTACAGTTTAGGTTCAAATTCATATAAACTGTAAAAATCTAAGCCAGGAGTGTCAAACTCATTTTGGTTCGGGGGCCGTATCCAACCTACTTTGATCCCAAAGGGGCCGGATCAGAAAACTCATGTCATATAAACCCCAAAAATAACAATAAGTTCAAATATTTGTGCAGAGAAACACAAATCTATTACAGAAATCTTTTTTAATTGATGAACTCTTTATTTTACAAAATATTATAATATTATGAACAACCTGAAACTTTAGGAAAAATGCATTTTCAACGCAATATTTTAACATTAACTTGTATGCAAATAGGAATAAGTCAGTTTTTCTTGGAAAATCCTGCTCTTGGCGTCCACTTTTCTCATTTTTGACATTTTGCTGATGAGGTCAAAACGATCGTCCTTTAAGAGCGTTTGGAAAAAGGCAAGTCTTCATTTGTGCTGCTCTGGTGGGAGGGGCCACTATGCTCAGCACCGCAGAAAATTACCAATATTTGAATAGAAACAATAATTAAAATATTTTAGTACAAAATCAGCCGAGGGCCAGATTAAAGGTCTTGGAGGGCCGCATCCGGCCCCCGGGCCTTATGTTTGACACCTGTCATCTAAGCTGTATTTGGTACTTTCTTGGTTTAAAGACTTGAAATTACTTGAAGCTCAAAGCAAACGATGGACTTGACTTGGACTTATGGGCCAGTGAGTCGAGACTCGACTTGGACTTGCCTGTATTTGACTTGGGACTTGACTCGGACTTGAGGTCAAAGACTTGAGACTCACTTGAGACTTGCAAAACAATGGCTTGGTCCCAACTCTGGAAGTCTAGCATATATAGTATGTACCAATAACACTATAAAATAACATTACACATACATTTAGTCCTTTGTGCATTTCAGACCGTTTGCCTTGATCAGATTATTATGTTTTGTGACTGCAATTTATTTGTTATGATAGATTTTAGTACTTGACCTTGAAATTATATTGTATTAGCATGCACTATATAAATTAAGGTTATTTTTAAATTATCCCTTTTTGAAACAATAGAAATAACAGGACTTTATCATTCTCAGTCTTTAATTTGTTAATTCTACTAAATTGTACCTCATCTATCTTTAAGTTCCCTTTAATCAAAAAATATTGGTTAAAATTATTCAAAAATTAGAACATGTTGAAACAATTTGACATAATTACGTTAGTAGGACTATTTCCAAAATTTTGAATATACATGATTTAATCTATTTAATTACTTTGAACGTTCATACACACTGTGTGTATGGACCAGAAATCTTAATGGACCAGATGTCCCCATTTCACCCAGTTTTGAGCCATATGTCCTCAGTCCCGGCAGATTTATCCCAAACCAGTGATTTGTTCCAGTTTTATACAAGAAATGCCCCAGGTGTCCCTATTTTGACCAATTTTGATACCTGCCAACAGTAAAAAGGGGAATATATTGTCATTTGTTTAGCTAACATACAGAAAACTGAACTCAAAAATGACCATAAGGCAAAAAAAAAAGCACTCTCAGATGACGCAAGTGAGTCAAGAATGTTACGCGCTATTTTTTCCACAGTTTTATTTATAACAACCATCCCAACTTGGGTGTGTTCCAGTTTTTAATTTTGAAAATCTGGTCACCTTAACATAAAAGCCAAATTAATACCTCGTATTTGTGTCAACCCTCTTAAAGTAGAATGAATGTTTTCATCGTGTTTGTAAGAAATTATGTTAGTACTGCAAAGGACAGAAGCAGGTGGTGGACCCTCCATCAGAAAAGTTACATAGTGCACCTTAAAGTACACAGTTTCACAAATTGTGAAAACATTAAACTCAAAATAACAAAGATATTTTTAATTCAAACAAATTTTAGTGTATCATTGCTTTTTGTAGTATACTACTGCAAAAAACAAAATCGAACCATGTTAAGATGACTTGAATTAAGCATGTTTTATCACGATTTGAGTAAATTTCATGTTTAAAAGGTAAAATTATCTAGCCTGATTCATCAGACGGTTTCACTTCATGGAAATCTTCTGACCTCGCATTAGAATTTGTTTGCTCAACAGTAGGTGGGTACT